ATCTATATATAGATATATATATTAGGAACGCACTGGACTCCAGACAGAGGAACGCACTGAACTCAGGAAACCACTGGACTCAGGAACGCACTGGACTCAGGAAAGAGGCACGCACTAGACTTGGGACATAGGAACACACTGGACTCAGAAACGCACTGGACTCGGGAAAGAGGAACGCACTAGACTTGGGACATAGTAACGCACTGGACTCAGGAACGCACTGGACTCAGGAAAGAGGAACGCACTAGACTTGGGACATAGGAACGACTGGACTCAGGAACGCGCAGTACTCAGGAAAGAGGAACGTACTACTAGACTTCGGACATAGGAACACACTGGACTCAGGACTTAGTAATTCACTGAACTCTGGACATAGGAACACACTGGACTTTGCAACACACTGGACTTAGGACTAAAAACAAGCACACTCACAGAGAATACATCTCCCCCCCCCCCAGCCCCTGCTACCTGATCACCCGCTCTGTCTCTGTGCAGCCTTCTGATCCTGGTCACTGGAAATGCCTCATGCACATCTGAAGGGATGCCGCGGATGTCCTTTTTGATAAAACATCGGCGTCAGTGAAAACATTGTGCTCTGCTGCAGCCGTCACCGATGTTTTATCAAACAGGACATCCCTTTAGTGGATGATCTGTATATGCCTCACAGTGTGAGACCGGCGCCCGGTGGCATGTGCCCCCCCGTGCTAAGTCACTGCCAGGACACCCTGGGGGGGTTTACCCCCCTATCCCCCCCCTTATCTACGCCCCTGAACTGCACAGTTAGCTGCAAAACTATAACACCAAGGGCCAGATGTCTCCCACTCCCTACCTCCTGTCCAGAGCCTCCTCGATGTCCTGATGTCAGTCCCTTCGCAGCCGCGCTCGAGCCACAGCACATTCTTCTCTCCGCGCAAGCCCCGCCCACTCCGCGCCTCATCCCTCCAGTCCGCTCCTGCTGTGTGCGGCTGTGCGCGTGTGTCGGGACACGGCCAGGACTCCCGGGAGGATTGTAAGCCTGATTCTCATCGGGCCCCCCCTCTGCTGCGGGCCCCATAGCGCCATAGGGCATGGGTTCGCTATGGCGGTAGTTCCGCCCCTGGTATGAATGACTAGAATTCAATACCAATATTCTCTTTGTATAAAGTAAACTATTGGGGGCAGGAACCACTGGTAGGGAGGAAGCTAAGGTGAAGGATGGCATGAAAACCTATGATGTCGCAGTAGATTACATTCAATTACAATTATACATAGAAATTACTGTCATAAATAAAAAGACAAATTATAAGTGAAATAGGCTGATACAGGAACAAATACATACACAAAAAAGTCCCCCCCCCCCTCCTAAGTGTCAGTGTATCATTGTTTTGGGCCCCCAAAAAGGACCCCCAAGTGTCAGTGTGTCATTGTTCTGAGACCCCCAAGTGTCAGTGTGTCAATGTTCTGGACCCCCTAGTGTCATTGTGTCATTGTTCTGGGACCCCCAAGTGTCAGTGTGTCATTGTTCTGGACTCCCAAGTGTCAGTGTGTCATTGTTCTGGACTCCCAAGTGTCAGTGTGTCATTGTTCTGGACTCCCAAGTGTCAGTGTGTCATTGTTCTGGGACCCCCAAGTGTCTGTGTGTCATTGTTCTGGACCCCCAAGTATTAGTGTGTCATTGTTCTGAACTCCCAAGTGTCAGTGTGTCATTGTTCTGGGACCCCCTAGTGACATTGTGTCATTGTTCAGGGACCCCCAAGTATCAGCGTGTCATTGTTCTGGGACCCCTAAGTGTCAGGGTGTCATTGTTCTTGGACCCCAAAGTGTCAGGGTGTCATTGTTCTAGAAACCCCAAGCACCCCATACAAACATGACTGCCAATAATACTTTCCATATGAAAATGGCTGCCCTGGTTGTCATGAATGTTTATTGCCAACAAGATGGCTACCTAAAAGACCCCTCTCTGTTAGAAGAAACAGCTGCCAGCCACAACATGGCCTCCTAAAAGTCTCCTAACGCAAACAGCTGCCAGCCACAAGATGGCCTCCTAATAGCCCCCCTTATTAAAAAATACAGCTGCCAACCGCAAGATGGCCTTCTAAAAGACCTCTCACCTCTCTCCATTGGAAGGAACAGCTGCCAGCCACAAGATGGCCTTCTAAAAGACTCTTCACTATTGAAAAGAATAGCTGTCAGCCACAAGACAGCTTCCGTGTGTAACGGACCGTGCAGAGTCTGGGAAGCAGTGTTCCAGCCACAAGATGGCGCCTCCGTCTCCACTACACGACGAACAGCTGCTACTGCGTGATGACGTCACGGGCAGACGTGTGGGGAAGACGCCTCCATTTCACAGAGAAGTGCTCGGTTTGCTGACTCCATTTTGTAGCTGTGGCCTCAGAGGGTTGTCTGGCCGAAACAACACCCGGAACACCCGCCGTGCTAAACACAGGGGCGCTCAGTAAGTGAGAGGGGGGCATGTGTGCGGTGGAGGGACATTTGAGGATGAGGGCAGTATAATCTGATAGGCGGTGGCTCAACACAGATGGGGTGTTGGAGGCTGTAGAGAAAGAGACATGAGGGAGGGGTGTTAGGGGAAAATATGGTGGAGTAAATTGGAAAAGCATGCTGGGGTACATTAGGAGGAGTAGGTAATGAGGAAGATGGAGGGTACATAGGGAGTGAAGGAGCTCATAGATGGTGGAGGGGTACATGAGAGTGGTTAAAAAAGGTACTTGGAAGATGAAGGGGAGTTGGGAGTGGTCAATTAGGGATACATGAAAGATGGAGGGGGTAGGGGTATAGGGTACCAGAGGGCTACATTAGAGGGGGTGTTGGGATATGTTGGAGGAGATGGGGCTGCACCTTTTGGTTGGCTGTAGAGCGCAGAAGGGGTTTTGGTGACAGCAGGGTAATCCTGATGCAAACTACAGAGGGTGAGATATTGGGGTAACTTAGAAGGGGTGGCCTAGGACTTTACTCCAGAACTAGGGAGGTAGGCTGCTGCAGGGGCAGACACGGAAAGGTTTGCAGCACAATGGGCAGTGTGATACATTAGAGGGGGGGGTCACGGGTTTCATTCTGGGGGGACATTTCTGTACTAAGCAGTTAACTTTTGTGTTACAGGCGATCCAGAAGGCGCGATGGCCACTCCAGCAACATCTAAAGTTGTGCTAAAGAGCACCACCAAGCTGTCCTTGAACGAGCGGTGAGGAAGCCCAACACCATCTGCACTGTGTAACATACCAAAATGTAGAGCAAAGTACCCAATGTGAGCCCCTTCCGAGGGTGCCACCTGCCCAGCTCCTCCCTAGCCGAGAGCGGGCACAGACACGTGGCAGTGATGGTACACAATGTGTGAGGAGTAATGTCTGTATTGGGTCATCACACAGTGGAAGGGCCTCTAGCCGCCCTCGTGCACTTCCTTCATATACTCCACGTGTTTTTACATGGGTTCCAGTTCTGGCTGCAGCCCGGTAGCATGTTACCTGTGCTGCCTGAAAATCCACTGGCGTGTCCAAGACCAGCGCATTCCCAGTGTGGCCGGTACTGTAAGAGGCATGATGGTGGGTCACCCTCCCTGCCCGGAGACCCTCTGACCACACTCTGGGGTCTTGTAAGAGGCAATTGTGTTGCTTTGTCTGCTCCTACCCTCTACCGCTTTCCTCTATCACTCGCCATCTCACCGCAATGGTCTCTTCCTGCTGGCTTGTCATCCTTCATTGCCGTCTCTTCATTTCATTGGTCAAGTGATCCCATCATGTATGCTTTGGAGCAAGCAAGGCTGACGAGGAGCCCAGTCCGTAACATTTAGCCTTCCTCTGTAGGATTGGTTCAGAGAAGGTGAAAAAAAAAACCCCACCGAGTAACTCCCGATTAATTTCCTTTCACTAGAAAAGTCCTTCCTACTACACAAAGGAGGTCAGACCGATTCCCCAACTCCCTAATGCACATGAAATGGCCAAAAATCTGTGTACTTCTGACGATCGTACCTATATGATCTACACCGTATGGTCAAAAGTCTGTTTACCTCTAACTATACCACCTATGTGATCATCCTCCTGACCATCACCACCTATATGATCTACCACATATGGCCAAAAGTCTGTCTTCCTCTGACCATCTCACCTATATGATCATCCCCTTGACCATCACCACCTATATGATCTACCCTATATGGCCAAAAGTCCACGTGCCCCTGACCTTTTACATCTACATGATCTACAACATGTGGCCAAAAGTCTTTGATCCACTGACCATTACACCTGTGTGATCCACACTATATGGCCAAATATCGGTGTACCTCTAATCATCACACCTTTATGATCTACACCATATGGTCAAAAGTCCTTGACCTGAACAATCAAAGCTATATGGTCAAAAGTCTGTGTACCCCTGACCATCTCTATGAGGTTGTTGGCCATCCCATTCCAAAGCCATGACCACTAATATGCAGTTGGCCTTCCCATTCCAAAGCCATGACCACTAATGTGGGGTTGGCCGTCCCATTCCAAAGCCATGACCACTAATGTGGGGTTGGCCATCCCCATTCCAAAGCTATGACCACTAATATAGGGTTGCACCCACTGTGAAGGATCTACACCATATGGTCAAAAGTCTTTGATTCACTGATCATTATACATGTGTGATCTACACTGTATGGCCAAATATCGGTGTACCTTTTACCATTGCACCTTTTATGATCTACACCATATGGCCAAAAGTCATAGACATCTGAACAATCAAAGCTATATGATCTGCACTATATGGCCAAAAGTCTGTGTACCCCTGATCATCAACTCTACATGAGCTTGTTGGCCGTCCCATTCCAAAGCCATGACCACTAATATGGAGTTGGCCCTCCCATTCCAAAGCCATGACCATATAGAGTTGTCCCTCCCATTCCAAAGCCATGACCACTAGTATGGAGTTGGCCCTCCCATTCCAAAGCCATGACCATATAGAGTTGGCCGTCCCATTCCAAAGCCATGACCATTAGTATGGAGTTGGCCGTCCCATTCCAAAGCCATGACCATATAGAGTTGGCCCTCCCATTCCAAAGCCATGACCATATAGAGTTGGCCCTCCCATTCCAAAGCCATGACCACTAATACAGAGTTGTACCCCATGTGAAAGATCTACACCATATTGTCAAAAGTTTTTGATCCACTGACCATTACACCTGTGTAATTCACACTATATGGCCAAATATTGGTGTACCTCTAATCATCACACCTTTACGCTGAACAGTCAAAGCTATGTGATCTGAACTATATGGCCAAAAGTCTGTGTACCCCTGATCATCACCTCTATATGAGGTTGTTGGCCGTCCCATTCCAAAGCCATGACTACTAATATGGAGTTTGAACTCTGTGGATCTACTGTTTTCTCCCTACCATGTTCTGGCCAAAATTGTACCTTTTACCTCAAGACCTGATTTTTGCAGCAGTATTATTTATAATTACACAAGTATGGTAGAAGTTCTGATGGTTCTTACTGATGGCACCACCTTTATGCACCCCTAAATCGGCCCTACAATTGTCCTAAAACGATGTTCCTTTACGGTGTGTGTCTAGTGATGACCAACTTCCAAGTCTTGGCCTTCAATATTCATCTATCACGTGCTCTGCTCCTGTCTATTCGTCATTCTTGAGTTCCTCTGATAGTTGTCTGTTTTCTTTTCTGTTCGTCATGTCTTGTCCTCTGCTGTGTCTCATCGAACCCTTCCGTCTCCTATTTCCCAGACTCCTCTGCTTCACTGTGCTGCCCAGCCTATCTTCTAGGTCTCGTTATTTGCTGTGCATTATGTGGAAATTGCAATGGCTAGATATTACGCCGGCCTGAGTGCCGCCTATAATGGAGAAAATTCATGGCATCTCCAGTGTGGGGGGGCCTTGAGATACGGCATACTGTCTGTTGAAATCTTATCTAAACCCTCCCCCCATTTTGTTCGACCTTGAAGCTTTACTAACATGCTGAAGAACAAACAGATGATGCCGGTCAACATCCGCGCCACCATGCAGCAGCAGCACCACCTGGCCAGCGCCAGGAACAGAAGACTGGCGCAGCAGATGGAGAGCAGGCCGTC